TGGTGATGTTAGCTGGTATTGGTGATGTTAGCTGGTATTGATGATGTTAGCTGGTATTGGTGATGTTAGCTGGTATTGGTGATGTTAGCTGGTATTGATGATGTTAGCTGGTATTGGTGATGTTAGCTGGTATTGATGATGTTAGCTGGTATTGGTGATGTTAGCTGGTATTGGTGATGTTAGCTGGTATTGGTGATGTTAGCTGGTATTGATGATGTTAGCTGGTATTGGTGATGTTAGCTGGTATTGATGATGTTAGCTGGTATTGGTGATGTTAGCTGGCTATTGGTGATGTTAGCTGGCTATTGATGATGTTAGCTGGCTATTGGTGATGTTAGCTGGTATTGGTGATGTTAGCTGGTATTGATGATGTTAGCTGGTATTGATGATTTTAGCTGGATATTGATGATGTTAGGTGGCTATTGATGATGTTAGCTGGCTATTGATGATGTTAGCTGGCTATTGGTGATGTTAGTTGGTATTGATGATGTTAGCTGGTATTGATGATGTTAGCTGGCTATTGATGATGTTAGCTGGTATTGGTGATGTTAGCTGGTATTGGTGATGTTAGCTGGTATTGATGATGTTAGCTGGTATTGGTGATGTTAGCTGGTATTGGTGATGTTAGCTGGTATTGATGATGTTAGCTGGTATTGGTGATGTTAGCTGGTATTGATGATGTTAGCTGGTATTGGTGATGTTAGCTGGTATTGGTGATGTTAGCTGGTATTGGTGATGTTAGCTGGTATTGATGATGTTAGCTGGTATTGGTGATGTTAGCTGGTATTGATGATGTTAGCTGGTATTGGTGATGTTAGCTGGCTATTGGTGATGTTAGCTGGCTATTGATGATGTTAGCTGGCTATTGGTGATGTTAGCTGGTATTGGTGATGTTAGCTGGCTATTGGTGATGTTAGCTGGCTATTGATGATGTTAGCTGGTATTGGTGATGTTAGCTGGCTATTGGTGATGTTAGCTGGTATTGGTGATGTTAGCTGGCTATTGGTGATGTTAGCTGGCTATTGATGATGTTGCTGTTACTCGCAACTGATTTTCCAGGTTTTGCTCCTCGATTTATTTAATTTCAAATCTCGCCTGCGGTTGCCTTGGCAGGGTCAGAGACCAAATGACTTAGCGGGCTTTGTACGGCCCGCGGGACGGACGTTTCGCACCCCCTGCCCTACGCAGGAACCCAGGCGGTAGGCCGGGGCAATCATCGCGCGGAATGACGGCAGCTCATCGGCCTCGTGGCTGATATCATCGTCGTCATCGTCGTCATCATCATCGTCGTCATCGTCATCGTCGTCATCGTCATCGTCATCATCGTCATCATCGTCATCGTCGTCATCGTCATCATCATCGTCATCATCGTCGTCATCGTCCTGTGTGAGAATTTACAGCGTGGATCCAGAGACTCATAGAGACTCATAGAGACTCAGAGACTCACAGAGACTTATAGAGACTCATAGTGACTCACAGAGACTCATAGAGACTCACAGAGACTCACAGAGACTTATAGAGACTCATAGAGACTCACAGAGACTCACAGAGACTCATAGAGACACACAGAGACTTATAGAGACTCAGATACTCACAGAGACTTATAGAGACTCATAGAGACTCACAGAGACTCAGAGACTCATAGAGACTCATAGAGACTCACAGAGACTTAGAGACTCAGATACTCACAGAGACTTATAGAGACTCACAGAGACTCGTAGAGACTCACAGAGACTCATAGAGACTCACAGAGACTCATAGAGACTCAGATACTCACAGAGACTTATAGAGATTTATAGAGACTCATAGAGACTCACAGAGACTCATAGAGACTCATATAAACTCATAGAGACTCAGAGACTCATAGAGACTCACAGAGACTTATAGAGACTCATAGAGACTTACAGAGACTCACAGAGTCCCATAGAGACTCAGAGACTTATAGAGACTCACAGAGACTTATAGAGACTCGTAGAGACTTACAGAGACTCACAGAGTCCCATAGAGACTCACAGAGACCCCGAGAGACTCACATAGATCCAGAGACTCACAGAGACCCGTAGAGACTCACAGAGACCCATAGAGACTCCCAGATCCTTATAGAGACCCGTAGAGACTCACAGAGACTCACAGAGACTCGTAGAGACTCACAGAGACCCATAGAGACTCACAGAGACCCATATAGACTCACAGAGACCCGGAGAGACCCACAGAGACCCACAGAGACTCACAGAGACTCACATAGACTTATAGAGACCCGTAGAGACTCACAGAGATCTACAGAGACTCACAGAGACCCCTAGAGACTCACAGAGATCCAGAGACCCGTAGAGACTCACAGAGACTCACAGAGACCCCTAGAGACTAACATATTCCCATAGAGACTCACAGAGACCCGTAGACACTCACAGATTCCCAGAGACTCACAGAGATCCCCTAGAGACTCACAGAGACCCCTAGAGACTCATAGAGACCTCTAGAGACTCACAGAGACCCCTAGAGACTCACAGAGACCCCTAGAGACTCACAGATACCCCTAGAGACTCACAGAGATCCAGAGACCCGTAGAGACTCACAGAGACCCCTAGAGACTAACATATTCCCATAGAGATTCACAGAGACCCATAGAGACTCACAGAGACCCCTAGAGACTCACAGAGACCAGTAGAGACTCACAGAGATCCAGAGACCCATAGAGACTCACAGAGACTCACAGAGACCCCTAGAGACTCACAGAGACCCCTAGAGACTCACAGAGACCCCTAGAGACTCACAGAGACCCCTAGAGACTCACAGAGATCCCCTGAAGACTCACAGATACACCCAGGGACTCACAGATACACCTAGAGACCCACACACATCGAGACCCATGCTCTAAACTCCGTTTATCTGCACCAGTTAACGCCCGCACTGAGCTGCGATGCAAGTCGCCCTTTCACCCAGACAGGCATTGGCCTGGCCAATCATCGCACGGAATCATAGAAGCTCAACCACAGCGGCTGATATCGTCATCTTCGCAGGGACCACCACGACGTAGAGGGGGCGAGAGAGACGCAGACTCCGAATACACAGCAGCAGCCAGGGCATAGTCAGGGTCCGGGATCGAACCCACGGACCTCCTGCGTGCCGGGAGAGGGAGTTAACATCTCGCCCCCCCCCCCCCCCCCCCCGACCCACCAAACCCAACCCATCACACCGCGAACCAATAACCCCTAACCCCAAGCCGAACCCGTGGGAGGGTGGGCGGGCGGGGGAGTGGGCGGGGTGGGCGACAATATCCTCCGTGCGCAAAATGACGACGCTTTGGAACGTAAATTAAAATATAAAGTATAACAATAACAACAACAATAGGGGTTTTTCCTCCCCCCGTTTTTCCGGCAAGAAAACCGAAACCTTTTAAAAAGGGTTCATGTCTACTGCATTAGCCACAGCACCTGCAGTCAAAATGCAAACAAAAGACATACTGTGATAATATACGCATTTGTCCTTATCACGGTATGTCTTTTGTTTGCATTTCGACTGCAGGTATCGTGGTTAATGCCGTAGACATCAATCCTCGTTAAACAAAAAAAAGATTTCAGTTTTTTTTTGCCAGAACAAAGGGGGAACAACCCCTACCATTGTTATATTGTGGTACCGGCCAAGGAGGTCTAATGATACAGATAACATATAAAGATACAGCAAAACGGACGGGGGGAGTAGCGGGGTAGGTGGCACGGGTAGTGGTGGAGGAAGTAGTGGGGGGGGGGGGAGCAGTCCATAAATGACGTCACGCGATGATTTAGGAGGATTTTTGACCCCCCCCAAAAAAATAAATAAAACGATTTAAAGCTTTCGTTACTGCAAGGATTCATCTTCTTTGGTTCTTTCGGTAAAGTCACCACCACCACCACGTAGAATGAGAATAAAAATAATAAGTTGATCAAATAAAATAACACAATAAAAATTCTCACGACGTTTCGGCCACAACGCAAGCGGCCTTCATCAACTTATTATTTTTATTCTCGTTCTACGTGGTGGTGGTGGTGGCGACTTTGCCGAAAGGGCCAAAGGGGACCGATAAAACGCCCTTCAAATCGCTTTTAAACTATTTGCTTGAAGGTCCGCGCTCTGAGCGTGGCTGTGCGTTCACTCCAGCGCTGTCCTCGAGACAGCCCGGTCCCTTCACCTGATGAAGGCCGCTTGTGTTGTGGCCGAAACGCCGTGAGAATTTTGTTGCTTTGTTTTTTTACCCACGTCACTTCACCGAATAGAACCAAAGAGTATAAACTATTTGTCACTGTAGCGCGTGTTTAATGTGGCGCTGCACACTCTGATGTGGCAGGAGAAGACATTCGTTATGTAATTAAATTTTGATTTAAAGCGTTCGTGAGTGCAGGGGAGTCATATGATTGGTTATTTAGGTAAAGTCACCACCACGTTAGAAGGGAAACAATAAAATAATACAAATATAAAACAATACAATTAGTATTCTTGGTTCTTTCGGTAAAGTCACCACCACGTAGAAGGGAAACAATAAAATAATAAAAATATAAAACAATAAAATTATTATTCTTGGTTCTTTCGGTAAAGTCACCACCACGTTGAAGGGAAACAATAAAATAATAAAAATATAAAACAATTAAATTATTGTAAAACAATTAAATTCTTATTCTTGGTTCTTTCGGTAAAGTCACCACCATGTAGAAGGGAAACAATAAAATAATAAAAATATAAAACAATAAAATTATTGTAAAACAATAAAATTAGTATTCTTGGTTCTTTCGGTAAAGTCACCACCACCGCGTAGAAGGGAAACAATAAAATAATAAAAATATAAAACAATACAATTATTGTAAAACAATAAAATTAGCATTCTTGGTACTTTCGGTAAAGTCACCACCACGTTAGAAGGGAAACAATAAAATAATAAAAATATACAAAACAATATTGTTTCATATATATATTTTTATCATTTTATTGTTTCCCTTCTACGTGGTGACTTTACCGAAAGAACCAAGGCTATAAGTAGAACGTGTTGTCTGCATTCAAAGTTGCGCAATTTTGATGTGACGTCACATTCCTCAAACCACCCACCCCCCTCCGCCTAGGTGGTGCGTGACGTCATTTATGAACGGCCCCTAGGAAATGTACGGTAAGTAGTAGCGAAGGTAGTTGAAGTAGTAGGGAATGTCCAGGAAGAGAGGTAAGTGGTCGAGATGACGGCACGGGAAGTCGGGAGGATACACGAAGGAAGGTCAGTACAATAAATAGGAGGGCACTCAAACATAGCGCGTTACAGCCGGGCCTATTTACAGGTGAGTGGCACAGGAAGTGGATACCTAACCGTGCCCCTGTGGGAGTGGAGTGGCAAGCACAGGGAGTAGGCGGAGCTACAGGGAGTAGGCGGAGCTACAGGGAGTGGGCGGGGCTACGCCGGGAGTAGGCGGAGCTACGCCGGGAGTTGGCGGAGCTACAGGGAGTAGGCGGGGCTATTTACAGGTGAGTGGCACAGGAAGTGGTGAGGGACGGCACAGGAAGTGGAACCAAACCGTGTCTCTGTGGGAGTGGAGTGGCAAGCACAGGGAGTAGGCGGAGCTACAGGGAGTAGGCGGAGCTACGCCGGGAGTAGGCGGAGCTACGCCGGGAGTAGACGGAGCTACAGGGAGTAGGTGGAGCTACAGGGAGTAGGCGGAGCTACAGGGAGTAGGCGGAGCTACAGGGAGTAGGCGGGGCTATTTACAGGTGAGTGGCACAGGAAGTGGATACCTAACCGTGCCCCTGTGGGAGTGGAGTGGCAAGCACAGGGAGTAGGCGGAGCTACAGGGAGTAGGCGGAGCTACAGGGAGTAGGCGGATCTACAGGGAGTAGGCGGAGCTACAGGGAGTAGGCGGAGCTACGCCGGGAGTAGGCGGAGCTACAGGGAGTAGGCGGAGCTACAGGGAGTAGGCGGAGCTACGCCGGGAGTAGGCGGAGCTACAGGGAGTAGGCGGAGCTACAGGGAGTAGGCGGAGCTACAGGGAGTAGGCGGAACTACAGGGAGTAGGCGGGGCTATTTACAGGTGAGTGGCACAGGAAGTGGAGACCTAACCGTGCCCCTGTGGGAGTGGAGTGGCAGCACAGGGAGTAGGCGGAGCTACAGGGAGTAGGCGGAGCTACAGGGAGTAGGCGGGGCTACAGGGAGTAGGTGGAGCTACAGGGAGTAGGCGGAGCTACAGGGAGTAGGCGGGGCTATTTACAGGTGAGTGGCACAGGAAGTGGAGACCTAACCGTGCCCCTGTGGGAGTGGAGTGGCAGCACAGGGAGTAGGTGGAGCTACAGGGAGTAGGTGGAGCTACAGGGAGTAGGCGGAGCTACACCGGGAGTAGGTGGAGCTACGCCGGGAGTGGGCGGAGCTACAGGGAGTAGGCGGAGCTACGCCGGGAGTAGGCGGAGCTACAGGGAGTAGGCGGAGCTACAGGGAGTAGGCGGAGCTACAGGGAGGGGGCGAAGCTACTGGGAGTAGGCGGAGCTACAGGGAGTAGGCGGAGCTACAGGGAGTAGGCGGAGCTACGCCGGGAGTAGGCGGAGCTACAGGGAGTAGGCGGAGCTACAGGGAGTAGGCGGAGCTACACCGGGAGTAGGCGGGGCTACAGGGAGTAGGCGGGGCTATTTACAGGTGAGTGGCACAGGAAGTGGTGAGGGACGGCACAGGAAGTGGAACCTAACCGTGCCCCTGTGGGAGTGGCAGCACAGGGAGTAGGCGGAGCTACAGGGAGTAGGCGGAGCTACAGGGAGGGGGCGAAGTTACGCCGGGAGTAGGCGGAGCTACAGGGAGTAGGCGTCGCTGCAAGGAGTAGGCGGTGCTACAGGAAGTAGGCGGTGCTACAGGGAGAAGGCGGAGCTACAGGGAGTAGGCGGAGCTACAGGGAGTAGGCGGAGCTACACCGGGAGTAGGCGGGGCTACAGGGAGTAGGCGGGGCTATTTACAGGTGAGTGGCACAGGAAGTGGTGAGGGACGGCACAGGAAGTGGAACCTAACCGTGCCCCTGTGGGAGTGGCAGCACAGGGAGTAGGCGGAGCTACAGGGAGTAGGCGGAGCTACAGGGAGGGGGCGAAGCTACGCCGGGAGTAGGCGGAGCTACAGGGAGTAGGCGTCGCTGCAAGGAGTAGGCGGTGCTACAGGAAGTAGTCGGAGCTACAGGGAGAAGGCGGAGCTACAGGGAGTAGGCGGAGCTACAGGGAGTAGGCGGCACGGCACGGGTAAGTGGGGGGTGGCGCCGCTGCAAGTTGATGGAATTAGACAGGAAGTAGGTGGGCGGGGCAGCAGGGAGTGGTGCAGTTAGACAGGAAGTAGGTGGGCGGGGCAGCAGGGAGTAGTGCAGTTAGACAGGAAGTAGGTGGGCGGGGCTTGCAGGGAGTGGTGCAGTTAGACAGGAAGTAGGGGGGCGGGGCTTGCAGTGAGTGGTGCAAATAGACAGGAAGTAGGTGGGCGGGGCAGCAGGGAGTGGCACCATTAGACAGGAAGTAGGTGGGCGGGGCAGCACAAGGAATGTCACCGAGAGGGGGTGGGGACATGGACAGCACACGGCTGCCCGTTTTGCGCAACACGCCGACACCGGCAACACGCCGGTGTACGCCGGTGTACACCGGCAACACGCCGGTGTACACCGGCAAACGCCGCCGGTACACGCAACACACCGGCACCCCGCCCCCCCCCCCCCCCCCCCTACACGTGCTGCTGCTGCTGCTGCTGCTGCAGCTTGCCGGCGTGCTCCACAGCGACGCGCACCAGGATGGCGTCGTCCCTCACGAAGCCGCCGTCCCTCATCTCCTCGTGGGTCACGAACCGCGGGTAGCCGAACCCCAACGCCGCCCCGTCAGACCCCACGCCGCCGCCGCCGCCGCCGCCGCCCACCGCCGCGAAGCTCGACCCGGCCAACTGCGGCACCACCGGCGGCGTCGCCAGCGAGAGGACGCCGGCCGGGACCGCCGGCGGTGGCGGCGGCCCCGGCCCCGGTGCTGCCGCCGGCCCCGGCCCCGGCCCCGGCCCCGGCCCCGCCACCGGAGCCGCCGGAGCCGCCGGGGCCGCCGAGGCGACCGCGGCCGCCGGCGCCGTGGGCTTCTGGAAGTGCTTCCACGCCGGGTCCGGCGTGAACGCCCGGTAGATGTGCCGGGGCGGCTCCGGGGGAGGCGCCGGCGGTGCCGCCGCCGGGTACGGCCCCGGCGCTACGGGCCTGGCGGGCTGCTGCTGCTGCTGGTGCTGCTGCTGCTGCTGGTGCTGCTGGTGCTGCTGGTGCTGCGGCTGGTGGTGGTGGTGGGGGTGGTTGTTCGCCGCGTTGCCGCTCCTGCCGACGCCGCCGCCGCCGCCGCCGCCGCTGCTGCCGCTGCTGCTGCTGCTCGTGGTGCTACCGTTACAGTTGTTGTTGTTTTCGGCCGAGTGCGGGCCCGGTGGGGGAGGCCGGGCCGGATGCGGCGGCGTCAAAACGTTTGCCGGTCCTCCCCCTCCCCCTCCCGCCGACGCCGACGCGGCCGCGGCCGCAGCCGCGGCCGCGGCCGCCGCGGCCACGGCCGCGGCGACTGGGGTCCCGGTGGAGGAGGGGCAGGAGGGGCCGCCCTGGTGCAGCAGCGAGAAGGAGAGGCGGTGCGGGAAGGGCCAGGGGAGGATGTTGTCGTAAGGGCCGGCCACCAGGCGCACGTACAGGGACAGGTGGGAACCCTCGCCGCTGCCATTGCCGTTGAGGAAGGCGGTGACCTGCAGCTTGTAGCCGTAGCTGGGGGGTGGGGGGGGGTGGTGGGGGGGGGGGGGGTGGGGGTGGGGGGAGAGGTGGGGGGGTTTCAGGCTGCCCGCATACGCACACACACTCACGTACGCACGCACTCACGTACACACACACTCGCTAGCACACACTAGCACACTCGCTAGCACACACTCACGTACACACACACTCACGTACACACACACACTCACGTACACACACACACTCACGTACGCACGCACACTCACGTACGCACGCACACTCACGTACGCACGCACACTCACGTACACACACACTCACATTCACACGTACGCACGTACGCACGCACTCACGCACTCACGTACACACGCACTCACGTACACACACACTCATGTACACACACACTCGCTAGCACATACTCGCACCTAGACTCACTCACGAACACAAAGATCCCCCATATAGCCTTAACAGACTGTAGGGGCAAGTGCTGTTAGCGAGCACCTATGAAGGCCGGCACGGCACACGAGGGGGTGGGTGGCCAGCACCACTCACTGCAAGCCCCGCCCACCTACTTCCTGTATAATTGCGCCACTCCCTGCAAGCCCCGCCCACCTACTTCCTGTCTAATTGCACCACTCCCTGCTGCCCCGCCCACCTACTTCCTGTCTAATTGCACCACTCCCTGCTAGCCCCGCCCACCTACTTCCTGTCTAATTGCACCACTCCCTAATGCCCCGCCCACCTACTTCCTGTCTAATTGCACCACTCCCTGCAAGCCCCGCCCACCTACTTCCTGTCTAATTGCACCACTCCCTGCTAGCCCCACCCACCTACTTCCTGTCTAATTGCACCACTCCCTGCTAGCCCCACCCACCTACTTCCTGTCTAATTGCACCACTCCCTGCTAGCCCCGCCCACCTACTTCCTGTCTAATTGCACCACTCCATGCAGCCCCGCCCACCTACTTCCTGTCTAATTGCACAACTTCCTATAGCCCCGCCCACCTACTTCCTGTCTAATTGCACCACTCCCTGCAGCCCCGCCCACCTACTTCCTGTCTAATTGCACCACTCCCTGCAAGCCCCGCCCACCTACTTCCTGTCTAATTGCACCACCCCCTATAGCCCCGCCCACCTACTTCCTGTCTAATTGCGCCAGTCCCTGCAAGCCCCGCCCACCTACTTCCTGTCTAATTGCACCACTCCCTAATGCCCCGCCCACCTACTTCCTGTCTAATTGCACCACTCCCTGCTGCCCCGCCCACCTACTTCCTGTCTAACTACACCACTCCCTGCTGCCCCGCCCACCTACTTCCTGTCTAATTGCAGCACTCCCTGCAAGCCCCGCCCACCTACTTCCTGTCTAATTGCACCACTCCCTGCAAGCCCCGCCCACCTACTTCCTGTCTAATTGCACCACTCCCTATAGCCCCGCCCACCTACTTCCTGTCTAATTGCACCACTCCCTATAGCCCCGCCCACCTACTTCCTGTCTAATTGCACCACTCCCTATAGCCCCGCCCACCTACTTCCTGTCTAATTGCACCACTCCCTATAGTCCCGCCCACCTACTTCCTGTCTAATTGTACCACTCCCTGCAAGCCCCACCCACCTACTTCCTGTCTAATTGCACCACTCCCTATAGCCCCGCCCACCTACTTCCTGTCTAATTGCACCACTCCCTGCTAGCCTCGCCCACCTACTTCCTGTCTAATTGCACCACTCCCTGCAAGCCCCACCCACCTACTTCCTGTCTAATTGCACCACTCCCTGCTAGCCCCGCCCACCTACTTCCTGTCTAATTGCACCACTCCCTGCAGCCCCGCCCACCTACTTCCTGTCTAATTGCACCACTCCCTATAGCCCTGCCCACCTACTTCCTGTCTAGTTGCACCACTCCCTGCAGCCCCGCCCACCTACTTCCTGTGTAATTGCACCACTCCCTGCAAGCCCCGCCCACCTACTTCCTGTCCAATTGCACCACTCCCTATAGCCCCGCCCACCTACTTCCTGTCTAATTGCGCCACTCCTTGCAAGCCCCGCCCACCTACTTCCTGTCTAATTGCACCACTCCCTAATGCCCCGCCCACCTACTTCCTGTCTAATTGCACCACTCCCTGCTGCCCCGCCCACCTACTTCCTGTCTAACTACACCACTCCCTGCTGCCCCGCCCACCTACTTCCTGTCTAATTGCAGCACTCCCTGCAAGCCCCGCCCACCTACTTCCTGTCTAATTGCACCACTCCCTGCAAGCCCCGCCCACCTACTTCCTATCTAATTGCACCACTCCCTGCAAGCCCCGCCCACCTACTTCCTGTCTAACTGCACCACTCCCTGCTGCCCCGCCCACCCACATCCTGTCTAATTGCAGCACTCCCTATAGCCCCGCCCACCTACTTCCTGTCTAACTGCACCACTCCCTATAGCCCCGCTCACCTACTTCCTATCTAATTGCACCACTCCCTGCAAGCCCCGCCCACCTACTTCCTGTCTAACTGCACCACTCCATGCTGCCCCGCCCACCCACTTCCTGTCTAATTGCAGCACTCCCTATAGCCCCGCCCACCTACTTCCTGTCTAATTGCACCACTCCCTATAGCCCCGCTCACCTACTTCCTGTCTAATTGCACCACTCCCTGCAAGCCCCGCCCACCTACTTCCTGTCTAATTGCACCACTCCCCATAGCCCGGCCCACCTACTTCCTGTCTAATTGCACCACTCCCTGCAAGCCCCGCCCACCTACTTCCTGTCTAATTGCACCACTCCCTATAGCCACGCCCACCTACTTCCTGTCTAATTGCACCACTCCCTGCAAGCCCCGCCCACCTACTTCCTGTCAAATTGCACCACTCCCTGCAGCCCCGCCCACCTACTTCCTGTCTAATTGCACAACTTCCTATAGCCCCGCCCACCTACTTCCTGTCTAATTGCACCACTCCCTGCAGCCCCGCCCACCTACTTCCTATCTAATTGCACCACTCCCTGCAAGCCCCGCCCACCTACTTCCTGTCTAATTGCACCACTCCCTATAGCCCCGCCCACCTACTTCCTGTCTAATTGCACCACTCCCTAATGCCCCGCCCACCTACTTCCTGTCTAATTGCACCACTCCCTGCTGCCCCGCCCACCTACTTCCTGTCTAACTACACCACTCCCTGCTGCCCCGCCCACCTACTTCCTGTCTAATTGCAAAACTCCCTGCAAGCCCCGCCCACCTACTTCCTGTCTAATTGCACCACTCCCTGCAAGCCCCGCCCACCTACTTCCTGTCTAATTGCACCACTCCCTATAGCCCCACCCACCTACTTCCTGTCTAATTGCACCACTCCTGCTGCCCCGCCCACCTACTTCCTGTCTAATTGCACCACTCCCTATAGCCCCACCCACCTACTTCCTGTCTAATTGCACCACTCCCTGTAGCCCCGCCCACCTACTTCCTGTCTAACTGCACCACTCCCTGCTGCCCCGCCCACCTATTTCCTGTCTAACTGCACCACTCACTGCAAGCCCCGCCCACCTACTTCCTATCTAATTGCACCACTCCCTGCAAGCCCCACCCACCTACTTCCTGTCTAATTGCACCACTCCCGAATGCCCCGCCCACCTACTTCCTGTCTAATTGCACCACTCCCTGCAAGCCCCGCCCACCTACTTCCTGTCTAATTGCACCACTGCCCATAGCCCCGCCAACCTACATCCTGTCTAATTGCACCACTCCCTGCAAGCCCCACCCACCTACTTCCTGTCTAATTGCACCACTCCCTATAGCCCCGCCCACCTACTTCCTGTCTAATTGCACCACTCCCTGCAAGCCCTGCCCACCTACTTCCTGTCTAATTGCACCACTCCCTGCTGCCCCGCCCACCTACTTCCTGTCTAATTGCACCACTCCCTGCAAGCCCCGCCCACCTACTTCCTGTCTAATTGCACCACTCCCGAATGCCCCGCCCACCTACTTCCTGTCTAATTGCACCACTCCCTGCAAGCCCCGCCCACCTACTTCCTGTCTAATTGCACCACTGCCCATAGCCCCGCCAACCTACATCCTGTCTAATTGCACCACTCCCTGCAAGCCCCACCCACCTACTTCCTGTCTAATTGCACCACTCCCTATAGCCCCGCCCACCTACTTCCTGTCTAATTGCACCACTCCCTGCAAGCCCCGCCAACCTACATCCTGTCTAATTGCACCACTCCCTGCAAGCCCCACCCACCTACTTCCTGTCTAATTGCACCACTCCCTATAGCCCCGCCCACCTACTTCCTGTCTAATTGCACCACTCCCTGCAAGCCCCGCCCACCTACTTCCTGTCTAATTGCGCCACTCCCTGCTGCCCCGCCCACCTACTTCCTGTCTAATTGCACCACTCCCTGCAAGCCCCGCCCACCTACATCCTGTCTAATTGCACCACTCCCGAATGCCCCGCCCACCCACTTCCTGTCTAAATGCACCACTCCCTGCTGCCCCGCCCACCTACTTCCTGTCTAATTGCACCACTCCCGAATGCCCCGCCCACCTACTTCCTGTCTAATTGCACCACTCCCGAATGCCCCGCCCACCTACTTCCTGTCTAATTGCACCACTCCCGAATGCCCCGCCCACCTACTTCCTGTCTAATTGCACCACTCCCTAATGCCCCGCCCACCTACTACCAGCACATCACCGCCTACTGCCTCACGTTTACTTCCTGTGTAATGTCGCCCACTGCTTCCTGCACGCTCACCCACACGCTCACCCACTCACCCACACGCTCACCCACACGCTCACCCGCACGCTCACCCACACGCTCACCCACTCACTCACCCACTCACACGCTCACCCACTCGTACCGGTGAGTGTAGAACGGCTGACTCAGCAGCTCCCTCTCACCCACTCACTCACACACTCACCCACTCACTCACACACTCACTCACTCACCCACTCATTCACTCACTCACACACTCACTCACTCGTACCGGTGAGTGTAGAACGGATGACTCAGCAGCTCCCTCTCACTCACTCACACACTCACTCACACACTCACTCACTCACTCACCCACACACTCACTCACTCACACACTCACCCACACACTCACTCACCCACTCACCCACACACTCACTCACCCACTCACACACCCACTCACTCACCCACACACTCACCCACTCACTCACCCACTCACACGCTCACCCACTTGTACCGGTGAGTGTAGAATGGCTGACTCAGCAGCTCCCTCTCATCTCACTCACACTCACTCACACACTCACTCACACACTCACCCACTCACTCACTCACACACTCACCCACACACTCACTCACCCACTCACCCACACACTCACTCACCCACTCACACACCCACTCACTCACCCACACACTCACCCACTCACTCACCCACTCACACGCTCACCCACTTGTACCGGTGAGTGTAGAATGGCTGACTCAGCAGCTCCCTCTCATCTCACTCACACTCACTCACACACTCACCCACACGCTCACCCACTCACTCACCCACACGCTCACCCACACACTCACCCACTCACTCACCCACACGCTCAACCACTCACACGCTCACCCACTCGTACCAGTGAGTGTAGAACGGCTGACTCAGCAGCTCCCTCTCACTCACTCACCCACTAACTCACTCACTCACCCACACACTCACTCACTCACCCACTCACTCACTCACCCATTCACTCACCCACTCACCCACACACTCACCCACACACTCACCCACTCGCTCACCCACTCACTCACCCACCCACACGCTCACTCACTCGTACCGGTGAGTGTAGAACGGCTGACTCAGCAGCTCCCTCTCATCTCACTCACTCACCCACTCACTCACCCACACACTCACCCACACACTCACTCACACACTCACCCACTCACTCACCCACTCACTCACCCACTCACCCACACACTCACTCACACACTCACCCACTCACTCACCCACTCACCCACTCACTCACCCACTCACACGCTCACCCACTCGTACCGGTGAGTGTAGAATGGCTGACTCAGCAGCTCCCTCTCACTCACTCACACACTCACCCACACGCTCACCCACTCACTCACTCACCCACTCACTCACTCACACACTCACACACTCACCCACTCACTCACACACTCACCCACCCACTCACACACTCACCCACACGCTCACACACTCACACACTCACCCACTCACCCACCCACTCACACACTCACTCACACACTCACACACTCACACACCCACTCACTCACCCACTCACTCACCCACTCACTCACCCACTCACTCACACTCACCCACACACTCACACACTCACCCACACACTCACCCACTCACTCACCCATTCACTCACCCACCCACTCACTCACTCACTCACCCACACACTCGTACCGGTGAGTGTAGAACGGCTGACTCAGCAGCTCCCTCTCACTCACTCACACACTCACTCACACACTCACCCACTCACACACTCACCCACTCACTCACTCACCCACTCACCCACTCACTCACCCACTCACCCATTCACTCACTCACTCACACACTTACTCACCCACCCACTCACCCATTCACTCACTCACTCACTCACCCACTCACCCACTCATCCCACTCACTCACACACCCACTCACTCACCCACTCGTACCGGTGAGTGTAGAATGGCTGACTCAGCAGCTCCCTCTCACTCACTCACCCACACGCTCACCCACTCACTCACTCACCCACCCACACGCTCACCCACTCGTACCGGTGAGTGTAGAATGGCTGACTCAGCAGCTCCCTCTCATCTCACTCACACACTCACTCACCCACGCACTCACCCATTCACTCACTCACTCACCCACTCACCCACTCATCCCACTCACTCACACACCCACTCACTCACCCACTCACCCACTCACACACACACTCACTCACACACTCACCCACTCACACGCTCACCCACTCGTACCGGTGAGTGTAGAATGGATGACGCAGCAGCTCCCTCTCACTCACTCACACACTCACTCACACGCTCACCCACTCACTCATACACTCACTCACCCACTCACACACTCACTCACACACCCACTCACTCACCCACTCACTCACACACTCACTCACTCGCTCACCCACACGCTAACCCACTCACCCACCCACTCACCCACACGCTCACCCACTCACCCACCCACTCACTCACACACCCACTCACACACCCACTCACTAACCCACTCACTCACACGCTCACCCACTCGTACCGGTGAGTGTAGAATGGCTGACTCAGCAGCTCCCTCTCATCTCACCCACTCACTCACACACACACTCACTCACACACACACTCACTCACCCACTCACCCACCCACTCACCCACTCGTACCGGTGAGTGTAGAACGGCTGACTCAGCAGCTCCCTCTCATCTCACTCACTCACCCACTCACTCACCCACCCACACGCTCACCCACTCACTCACTCGTACCGGTGAGTGTAGAACGGCTGACTCAGCAGCTCCCTCTCATCTCACTCACACACCCACTCACCCACTCACTCACCCACTCACCCACTCACACACCCACTCACCCACTCGTACCGGTGAGTGTAGAACGGCTGACTCAGCAGCTCCCTCTCATCTCACTCACTCACCCACTCACTCACCCACCCACACGCTCACCCACTCACTCACTCGTACCGGTGAGTGTAGAACGGCTGACTCAGCAGCTCCCTCTCATCTCACTCACACACCCACTCACCCACTCACTCACCCACTCACCCACTCACCCACCCACTCACCCACTCGTACCGGTGAGTGTAGAACGGCTGACTCAGCAGCTCCCTCTCATCTCACTCACACACCCACTCACCCACTCACTCACCCACTCACCCACTCACCCACCCACTCACCCACTCGTACCGGTGAGTGTAGAACGGCTGACTCAGCAGCTCCCTCTCATCTCACTCACTCACCCACTCACTCACCCACCCACACGCTCACCCACTCACTCACTCGTACCGGTGAGTGTAGAACGGCTGACTCAGCAGCTCCCTCTCATCTCACTCACACACCCACTCACCCACTCACTCACCCACTCACCCACTCACCCACCCACTCACCCACTCGTACCGGTGAGTGTAGAACGGCTGACTCAGCAGCTCCCTCTCATCTCACTCACACACCCACTCACCCACTCACTCACCCACTCACCCACTCACCCACCCACTCACCCACTCGTACCGGTGAGTGTAGAACGGCTGACTCAGCAGCTCCCTCTCATCTCACTCACTCACCCACTCACTCACCCACCCACACGCTCACCCACTCACTCACTCGTACCGGTGAGTGTAGAACGGCTGACTCAGCAGCTCCCTCTCATCTCACTCACACACCCACTCACCCACTCACCCACTCACTCACCCACTCACCCACTCACCCACCCACTCACCCACTCGTACCGGTGAGTGTAGAACGGCTGACTCAGCAGCTCCCTCTCATCTCACTCACACACCCACTCACCCACTCACTCACCCACTCACCCACTCACCCACCCACTCACCCACTCGTACCGGTGAGTGTAGAACGGCTGACTCAGCAGCTCCCTCTCATCTCACTCACACACCCACTCACCCACTCACTCACCCACTCACCCACTCACCCACCCACTCACCCACTCGTACCGGTGAGTGTAGAACGGCTGACTCAGCAGCTCCCTCTCATCTCACTCACTCACCCACTCACCCACTCACTCACCCACTCACCCACTCACCCACCCACTCACCCACTCGTACCGGTGAGTGTAGAACGGCTGACTCAGCAGCTCCCACTCATCTCACTCACACACCCACTCACCCACTCACTCACCCACTCACCCACTCACCCACCCACTCACCCACTCGTACCGGTGAGTGTAGAACGGCTGACTCAGCAGCTCCCTCTCATCTCACTCACTCACCCACTCACCCACTCACTCACCCACTCACCCACTCACCCACCCACTCACCCACTCGTACCGGTGAGTGTAGAACGGCTGACTCAGCAGCTCCCTCTCATCTCACTCACTCACCCACTCACTCACCCACCCACTCACTCACTCGTACCGGTGAGTGTAGAATGGCTGACTCAGCAGCTCCCTCTCATCTCACTCACTCACCCACTCACTCACCCACCCACTCACTCACTCGTACCGGTGAGTGTAGAATGGCTGACTCAGCAGCTCCCTCTCATCTCACTCACTCACCCACTCACTCACCCACCCACTCACTCACTCGTACCGGTGAGTGTAGAATGGCTGACTCAGCAGCTCCCTCTCATCTCACTCACTCACCCACTCACTCACCCACCCACCCACCCACTCGTACCGGTGAGTGTAGAATGGCTGACTCAGCAGCTCCCTCTCATCTCACTCACTCACCCACTCACTCACCCACCCACCCACCCACTCGTACCGGTGAGTGTAGAACGGCTGACTCAGCAGCTCCCTCTCATCTCCGCTCTTCTTGGACTCAGCAAGGCGCCGGGACACATCCGTGATACGCCAAAGCAGACAGCCAGTCACGGAGATAGACAGCTCCTCCACCTTGTACAACACCATCATCACCATCACAGCAGACAGCCAGTCACGGAGATAGACAGCTCCTCCACCTTGTACAACAACACCATCATCACAGCAGACAGCCAGTCACGGAGATAGACAGCTCCTCCACCTTGTACAACAACACCATCATCACACCACCATCATCACACCACCATCACAGCAGACAGCCAGTCACGGAGATAGACAGCTCCTCCACCTTGTACAACAACACCATCATCACACCACCATCATCACACCACCATCACAGCAGACAGCCAGTCACGGAGATAGACAGCTCCTCCACCTTGTACAACACCATCACCATCACAGCAGACAGCCAGTCACGGAGATAGACAGCTCCTCCACCTTGTACAACAACACCATCATCACACCACCATCATCACATCACCATCACAGCAGACAGCCAGTCACGGAGATAGACAGCTCCTCCACCTTGTACAACATCACCACCATCATCACCATCACCACACCACCATCACAGCAGACAGCCAGTCACGGAGATAGACAGCTCCTCCACCTTGTACAACAACACCATCATCACAGCAGACAGCCAGTCACGGAGATAGACAGCTCCTCCACCTTGTACAACAACACCATCATCACAGCAGACAGCCAGTCACGGAGATAGACAGCTCCTCCACCTTGTACAACAACACCATCATCACAGCAGACAGCCAGTCACGGAGATAGACAGCTCCTCCACCTTGTACAACAACACCATCATCACAGCAGACAGCCAGTCACGGAGATAGACAGCTCCTCCACCTTGTACAACATCACCACCATCACAGCAGACAGCCAGTCACGGAGATAGACAGCTCCTCCACCTTGTACAACATCACCACCATCACAGCAGACAGCCAGTCACGGAGATAGACAGCTCCTCCACCTTGTACAACACCACCATCATCACCACACCACCATCACATCAGACAGCCAGTCACGGAGATAGACAGCTCCTCCACCTTGTACAACACCACCATCATCACCACACCACCATCACATCAGACAGCCAGTCACGGAGATAGACAGCTCCTCCACCTTGTACAACACCACCATCATCACCACACCACCATCACATCAGACAGCCAGTCACGGAGATAGACAGCTCCTCCACCTTGTACAACACCACCATCATCACCACACCACCATCACATCAGACAGCCAGTCACGGAGATAGACAGCTCCTCCACCTTGTACAACACCACCATCATCACCACACCACCATCACATCAGACAGCCAGTCACGGAGATAGACAGCTCCTCCACCTTGTACAACATCATCATCATCACCACATCACCATCACAGCAGACAGCCAGTCACGGAGATAGACAGCTCCTCCACCTTGTACAACACCATCATCACCATCACAGCAGACAGCCAGTCACGGAGATAGACAGCTCCTCCACCTTGTACAACACCACCACCATCACCACACCACCATCACAGCAGACAGCCAGTCACAGAGATAGACAGCTCCTCCACCTTGTACAACACCACCACCATCACCACACCACCATCACAGCAGACAGCCAGTCACAGAGATAGACAGCTCCTCCACCTTGTACAACACCATCACCATCACAGCAGACAGCCAGTCACGGAGATAGACAGCTCCTCCACCTTGTACAACATCATCATCACAGCAGACAGCCAGTCACGGAGATAGACAGCTCCTCCACCTTGTACAACATCATCATCACAGCAGACAGCCAGTCACGGAGATAGACAGCTCCTCCACCTTGTACAACACCACCACCACAATCATCACCATCACATCACCATCACAGCAGACAGCCAGTCACGGAGATAGACAGCTCCTCCACCTTGTACAACACCATCACCATCACAGCAGACAGCCAGTCACGGAGATAGACAGCTCCTGCACCTTGTACAACACCATCACCACCACAGCAGACAGCCAGTCACGGAGATAGACAGCTCCTCCACCTTGTACAACACCATCACCATCACAGCAGACAGCCAGTCACGGAGATAGACAGCTCCTCCACCTTGTACAACACCATCACCATCACAGCAGACAGCCAGTCACGGAGATAGACAGCTCCTCCACCTTGTACAACACTATCACCATCACAGCAGACAGCCAGTCACGGAGATAGACAGCTCCTCCACCTTGTACAACACCATCACCACACCACCATCACAGCAGACAGCCAGTCACAGAGATAGACAGCTCCTCCACCTTGTACAACACCACCACCACAATCATCACCATCACATCACCATCACAGCAGACAGCCAGTCACGGAGATAGACAGCTCCTCCACCTTGTACAACATCACCACCATCATCACCATCACCACACCACCATCACAGCAGACAGCCAGTCACGGAGATAGAGAGCTCCTCCACCTTGCACAACACCATCACCACCACACCACCATCACAGCAGACAGCCAGTCACGGAGATAGACGGCTCCTCCACCTTGTACAACACCATCACCATCATCACACCACCATCATCACACCACCATCACAGCAGACAGCCAGTCACGGAGCGACAGCTCCTCCACCTTGTACAACAACACCACCATCACAGCAGACAGCCAGTCACGGAGATAGACAGCTCCTCCACCTTGTACAACACCACCACCACAATTATCACCATCACATCACCATCACAGCAGACAGCCAGTCACGGAGATGGACAGCTCCTCCACCTTGTACAACACCACCATCACCACACCACCATCACCACACCACCATCACAGCAGACAGCCAGTCACGGAGATAGACAGCTCCTCCACCTTGTACAACATCACCATCATCACCATCACCACACCACCACCACCATCACGACACCATCACCACACCACCATCACAGCAGACAGCCAGTCACGGAGATAGACAGCTCCTCCACCTTGTACAACACCATCACCATCACCACACCATCACAGCAGACAGCCAGTCACGGAGATAGACAGCTCCTCCACCTTGCACAACACCATCACCACCACACCACCATCACAGCAGACAGCCAGTCACGGAGATAGACAGCTCCTCCACCTTGTACAACACCATCACCATCACCACATCACCATCACAGCAGACAGCCAGTCACGGAGATAGACAGCTCCTCCACCTTGTACAACACCATCACCATCACCACATCACCATCACAGCAGACAGCCAGTCACGGAGATAGACAGCTCCTCCACCTTGTACAACACCATCACCATCACAGCAGACAGCCAGTCACGGAGATAGACAGCTCCTCCACCTTGTACAACACCATCACCATCACAGCAGACAGCCAGTCACGGAGATAGACAGCTCCTCCACCTTGTACAACACCATCACCACACCACCATCACAGCAGACAGCCAGTCACAGAGATAGACAGCTCCTCCACCTTGTACAACACCACCACCACAATCATCACCATCACATCACCATCACAGCAGACAGCCAGTCACGGAGATAGACAGCTCCTCCACCTTGTACAACATCACCACCATCATCACCATCACCACACCACCATCACAGCAGACAGCCAGTCACGGAGATAGAGAGCTCCTCCACCTTGCACAACACCATCACCACCACACCACCATCACAGCAGACAGCCAGTCACGGAGATAGACGGCTCCTCCACCTTGTACAACACCATCACCATCATCACACCACCATCATCACACCACCATCACAGCAGACAGCCAGTCACGGAGATAGACAGCTCCTCCACCTTGTACAACAACACCACCATCACAGCAGACAGCCAGTCACGGAGATAGACAGCTCCTCCACCTTGTACAACACCACCACCACAATTATCACCATCACATCACCATCACAGCAGACAGCCAGTCACGGAGATGGACAGCTCCTCCACCTTGTACAACACCACCATCACCACACCACCATCACCACACCACCATCACAGCAGACAGCCAGTCACGGAGATAGACAGCTCCTCCACCTTGTACAACATCACCATCATCACCATCACCACACCACCACCACCATCACGACACCATCACCACACCACCATCACAGCAGACAGCCAGTCACGGAGATAGACAGCTCCTCCACCTTGTACAACACCATCACCATCACCACACCATCACAGCAGACAGCCAGTCACGGAGATAGACAGCTCCTCCACCTTGCACAACACCATCACCACCACACCACCATCACAGCAGACAGCCAGTCACGGAGATAGACAGCTCCTCCACCTTGTACAACACCATCACCATCACCACATCACCATCACAGCAGGCAGCCAGTCACGGAGATAGACAGCTCCTCCACCTTGTACAACACCATCACCATCACCACATCACCATCACAGCAGACAGCCAGTCACGGAGATAGACAGCTCCTCCACCTTGTACAACACCACCATCATCACAGCAGACAGCCAGTCACGGATATAGACAGCTCCTCCACCTTGTACAACAACATCACCATCACAGCAGACAGCCAGTCACGGAGATAGACAGCTCCTCCACCTTGTACAACATCACCACCATCATCACATCACCATCACCACACCACCATCACAGCAGACAGCCAGTCACGGAGATAGACAGCTCCTCCACCTTGTACAACATCACCATCATCACAGCAGACAGCCAGTCACGGAGATAGACAGCTCCTCCACCTTGTACAACACCATCACCATCACAGCAGACAGCCAGTCACGGAGATAGACAGCTCCTCCACCTTGTACAACACCATCACCATCACCACACCACCACCATCACCATCACACCATCATCACAGCAGACAGCCAGTCACGGAGATAGACAGCTCCTCCACCTTGTACAACATCACCACCATCATCACCATAACCACACCATCACAGCAGACAGCCAGTCACGGGGATAGACAGCTCCTCCACCTTGAACAACATCACCACCATCATCACCATCACAGCAGACAGCCAGTCATGGACATAGACAGCTCCTCCACCTTGTACAACACCATCATCACAGCAGACAGCCAGTCACGGAGATGGACAACTCCTCCACCTTGTACAACATCACCATCATCACCATCACCACACCACCACCACCATCACGACACCATCACCATCACCACACCACCATCACAGCAGACAGCCAGTCACGGAGATAGACAGCTCCTCCACCTTGTACAACACCATCACCATCACCACACCATCACAGCAGACAGCCAGTCACGGAGATAGACAGCTCCTCCACCTTGTACAACACCATCACCATCACAGCAGACAGCCAGTCACGGAGATAGACAGCTCCTCCACCTTGTACAACACCATCACCATCACCACACCACCACCATCACCATCACACCATCATCACAGCAGACAGCCAGTCACGGAGATAGACAGCTCCTCCACCTTGTACAACATCACCACCATCATCACCATCACCATCACAGCAGACAGCCAGTCATGGACATAGACAGCTCCTCCACCTTGTACAACACCATCACCATCACCACACCATCACAGCAGACAGCCAGTCACGGAGATAGACAGCTCCTCCACCTTGTACAACACCACCATCACCACACCATCACCACACCATCAACCACACCATCACCATCACCACACCATCAACTACATCACCACACCAAGGAGGGAGGGGGGGATGGAGGGGGATGGAGGGGAGAGGATGGAGGGGGGGAGGGAGGGGAGGGGGGATGGAGGGGGAGGGGGGGATGGAGGGGATGGAGGGGGAGGGATGAAGGGGAGGGGGGATGGAGGGGGAGGGGGGATGGATGGAGGGGGAGGGATGGAGGGGAGGGGGAGGGATGGAGGGGAGGGGGAGGGATGGAGGGGAGGGGTGCACTGTACCTGCCTGCGGAGCTCCGTCATCTCTGAGCGCTGACGCTGCACGAGGCAGCAAGTCATGGAGAGGTGAGCACGCATGCCTTCCTCTAGATGCCGTGACATGGCCACCCTGTGACACTACACACACACAGTGAGTGTGTGTGTGTAGTGTGTGTGTAGTGTGTGTGTGAGTGTGTGTGTGAGTGAGAGGTGAGCACGCATGCCTTCCTCTAGATGCCGTGACATGGCCACCCTGTGACACTACACACACACAGTGAGTGTGTGTGTGTAGTGTGTGTGTAGTGTGTGTGTGAGTGTGTGTGTGAGTGAGAGGTGAGCACGCATGCCTTCCTCTAGATGCCGTGACATGGCCACCCTGTGACACTACACACACACAGTGAGTGTGTGTGTGTAGTGTGTGTGTAGTGTGTGTGTGAGTGTGTGTGTGAGTGAGAGGTGAGCACGCATGCCTTCCTCTAGATGCCGTGACATGGCCACCCTGTGACACTACACACAGTCACACACACACAGTGAGTGTGTGTAGTGTGTGTGTGAGTGAGAGGTGAGCACGCATGCCTTCCTCTAGATGCCGTGACATGGCCACCCTGTGACACTACACACAGTCACACACACACAGTGAGTGTGTGTAGTGTGTGTGTGAGTGAGAGGTGAGCACGCATGCCTTCCTCTAGATGCCGTGACATGGCCACCCTGTGACACTACACACAGTCACACAGTGAGTGTGTGTAGTGTGTGTGTGTAGTGTGTGTGTAGTGTGTGTGTGAGTGAGAGGTGAGCACGCATGCCTTCCTCTAGATGCCGTGACATGGCCACCCTGTGACACTACACACACTCACACACACACACAGTGTGTGTGAGTGTGTGTGTGTAGTGTGTGTGTAGTGTGTGAGTGAGTGAGAGGTGAGCACGCATGCCTTCCTCTAGATGCCGTGACATGGCCACCCTGTGACACTACACACACACAGTGAGTGAGTGTGTAGTGTGTGAGTGAGTGAGAGGTGAGCACGCATGCCTTCCTCTAGATGCCGTGACATGGCCACCCTGTGACACTACACACAGTCACACAGTGAGTGTGTGTAGTGTGTGTGTGAGTGAGAGGTGAGCACGCATGCCTTCCTCTAGATGCCGTGACATGGCCACCCTGTGACACTACACACAGTCACACACAGTCACACACACAGTGAGTGTGTGACTGTGTGTGAGTGAGAGGTGAGCACGCATGCCTTCCTCTAGATGCCGTGACATGGCCACCCTGTGACACTACACACACACAGTGAGTGTGTGTGTAGTGTGTGAGTGAGTGAGAGGTGAGCACGCATGCCTTCCTCTAGATGCCGTGACATGGCCACCCTGTGACACTACACACAGTCACACAGTGAGTGTGTGACTGTGTGTGTGTGTAGTGTGTGTGTAGTGTGTGAGTGAGTGAGAGGTGAGCACGCATGCCTTCCTCTAGATGCCGTGACATGGCCACCCTGTGACACTACACACAGTCACACAGTGAGTGTGTGACTGTGTGTGTGTGTAGTGTGTGTGTAGTGTGTGTGTGAGTGAGAGGTGAGCACGCATGCCTTCCTCTAGATGCCGTGACATGGCCACCCTGTGACACTACACACACACAGTGAGTGTGTGTAGTGTGTGTGTGAGTGAGAGGTGAGCACGCATGCCTTCCTCTAGATGCCGTGACATGGCCACCCTGTGACACTACACACACACAGTGAGTGTGTGTAGTGTGTGTGTGAGTGAGAGGTGAGCACGCATGCCTTCCTCTAGATGCCGTGACATGGCCACCCTGTGACACTACACACAGTCACACACACACAGTGAGTGTGTAGTGTGTGAGTGAGTGAGTGAGAGGTGAGCACGCATGCCTTCCTCTAGATGCCGTGACATGGCCACCCTGTGACACTACACACACACACAGTCACACACAGTGAGTGTGTGTAGTGTGTGTGTGAGTGAGAGGTGAGCACGCATGCCTTCCTCTAGATGCCGTGACATGGCCACCCTGTGACACTACACACAGTCACACAGTGAGTGTGTGTAGTGTGTGTAGTGTGTGAGTGAGTGAGAGGTGAGCACGCATGCCTTCCTCTAGATGCCGTGACATGGCCACCCTGTGACACTACAGTCACACACACAGTGAGTGTGTGTAGTGTGTGTAGTGTGTGAGTGAGTGAGAGGTGAGCACGCATGCCTTCCTCTAGATGCCGTGACATGGCCACCCTGTGACACTACACACAGTCACACACAGTGAGTGTGTGTGTAGTGTGTGAGTGAGTGAGAGGTGAGCACGCATGCCTTCCTCTAGATGCCGTGACATGGCCACCCTGTGACACTACAGTCACACACACAGTGAGTGTGTGTAGTGTGTGTAGTGTGTGAGTGAGTGAGAGGTGAGCACGCATGCCTTCCTCTAGATGCCGTGACATGGCCACCCTGTGACACTACAGTCACACACACAGTGTGTGTGTGTAGTGTGTGTAGTGTGTGAGTGAGTGAGAGGTGAGCACGCATGCCTTCCTCTAGATGCCGTGACATGGCCACCCTGTGACACTACACACACACAGTGAGTGTGTGTGTAGTGTGTGAGTGAGTGAGAGGTGAGCACGCATGCCTTCCTCTAGATGCCGTGACATGGCCACCCTGTGACACTACACACAGTCACACACACAGTGAGTGTGTGTAGTGTGTGTAGTGTGTGTGTAGTGTGTGTGAGTGAGTGAGTGTGTGTGTGAGTGAGAGGTGAGCACGCATGCCTTCCTCTAGATGCCGTGACATGGCCACCCTGTGACACTACACACAGTCACACAGTGAGTGTGTAGTGTGTGTAGTGTGTGAGTGTGTGAGAGGTGAGCACGCATGCCTTCCTCTAGATGCCGTGACATGGCCACCCTGTGACACTACACACAGTCACACACAGTCACACACACAGTCACACAGTGAGTGTGTGTAGTGTGTGTGTGAGTGAGAGGTGAGCACGCATGCCTTCCTCTAGATGCCGTGACATGGCCACCCTGTGACACTACACACAGTCACACAGTGAGTGTGTAGTGTGTGTAGTGTGTGAGTGTGTGAGAGGTGAGCACGCATGCCTTCCTCTAGATGCCGTGACATGGCCACCCTGTGACACTACACACAGTCACACACAGTCACACACACAGTCACACAGTGAGTGTGTGTAGTGTGTGTGTGAGTGAGAGGTGAGCACGCATGCCTTCCTCTAGATGCCGTGACATGGCCACCCTGTGACACTACACACAGTCACACAGTGAGTGTGTAGTGTGTGTAGTGTGTGAGTGTGTGAGAGGTGAGCACGCATGCCTTCCTCTAGATGCCGTGACATGGCCACCCTGTGACACTACACACAGTCACACACACAGTGAGTGTGTGTAGTGTGTGTAGTGTGTGTGTAGTGTGTGTGAGTGAGTGAGTGTGTGTGTGAGTGAGAGGTGAGCACGCATGCCTTCCTCTAGATGCCGTGACATGGCCACCCTGTGACACTACACACAGTCACACAGTGAGTGTGTAGTGTGTGTAGTGTGTGAGTGTGTGAGAGGTGAGCACGCATGCCTTCCTCTAGATGCCGTGACATGGCCACCCTGTGACACTACACACAGTCACACACAGTCACACACACAGTCACACAGTGAGTGTGTGTAGTGTGTGTGTGAGTGAGAGGTGAGCACGCATGCCTTCCTCTAGATGCCGTGACATGGCCACCCTGTGACACTACACACAGTCACACAGTGAGTGTGTAGTGTGTGTAGTGTGTGAGTGTGTGAGAGGTGAGCACGCATGCCTTCCTCTAGATGCCGTGACATGGCCACCCTGTGACACTACACACAGTCACACACAGTCACACACACAGTCACACAGTGAGTGTGTGTAGTGTGTGTGTGAGTGAGAGGTGAGCACGCATGCCTTCCTCTAGATGCCGTGACATGGCCACCCTGTGACACTACACACAGTCACACAGTGAGTGTGTAGTGTGTGTAGTGTGTGAGTGTGTGAGAGGTGAGCACGCATGCCTTCCTCTAGATGCCGTGACATGGCCACCCTGTGACACTACACACAGTCACACACAGTCACACACACAGTCACACAGTGAGTGTGTGTAGTGTGTGTGTGAGTGAGAGGTGAGCACGCATGCCTTCCTCTAGATGCCGTGACATGGCCACCCTGTGACACTACACACAGTCACACAGTGAGTGTGTAGTGTGTGTAGTGTGTGAGTGTGTGAGAGGTGAGCACGCATGCCTTCCTCTAGATGCCGTGACATGGCCACCCTGTGACACTACACACAGTCACACACAGTCACACACACAGTCACACAGTGAGTGTGTGTAGTGTGTGTGTGAGTGAGAGGTGAGCACGCATGCCTTCCTCTAGATGCCGTGACATGGCCACCCTGTGACACTACACACAGTCACACAGTGAGTGTGTGTGTGTGTAGTGTGTGTGTGAGTGAGAGGTGAGCACGCATGCCTTCCTCTAGATGCCGTGACATGGCCACCCTGTGACACTACACACAGTCACACACAGTCACAGTCACACACACACAGTGAGTGTGTAGTGTGTGTGTGTGAGAGGTGAGCACGCATGCCTTCCTCTAGATGCCGTGACATGGCCACCCTGTGACACTACAGTCACACACACAGTCACACACACACAGTGAGTGTGTGTGTGTGTAGTGTGTGAGTGAGAGGTGAGCACGCATGCCTTCCTCTAGATGCCGTGACATGGCCACCCTGTGACACTACAGTCACACACACAGTCACACACACACAGTGAGTGTGTGTGTGTGTAGTGTGTGAGTGAGTGAGAGGTGAGCACGCATGCCTTCCTCTAGATGCCGTGACATGGCCACCCTGTGACACTACAGTCACACACACAGTGAGTGTGTGTAGTGTGTGAGTGAGAGGTGAGCACGCATGCCTTCCTCTAGATGCCGTGACATGGCCACCCTGTGACACTACACAGTCACACAGTCACACACACACACACAGTGTAGTGTGTGTGACTGTGTGTGTGTGAGTGAGAGGTGAGCACGCATGCCTTCCTCTAGATGCCGTGACATGGCCACCCTGTGACACTACACACAGTCACACACACAGTCACACACACACAGTGAGTGTGTGTAGTGAGTGTGTGTAGTGTGTGTGTGAGTGAGAGGTGAGCACGCATGCCTTCCTCTAGATGCCGTGACATGGCCACCCTGTGACACTACACACAGTCACACAGTGAGTGTGTGACTGTGTGTGTGTGTAGTGTGTGTGTAGTGTGTGAGTGAGTGAGAGGTGAGCACGCATGCCTTCCTCTAGATGCCGTGACATGGCCACCCTGTGACACTACACACAGTCACACAGTGAGTGTGTGTAGTGTGTGTGTGTAGTGTGTGTGTAGTGTGTGTGTGAGTGAGAGGTGAGCACGCATGCCTTCCTCTAGATGCCGTGACATGGCCACCCTGTGACACTACACACAGTCACACACACAGTCACACACAGTCACACACACAGTCACACACAGTCACACAGTCACACAGTCACACACACAGTCACACACAGTCACACACACACAGTCACACTCACACACACACAGTGAGTGTGTGTGTGACTGTGTGAGTGAGAGGTGAGCACGCATGCCTTCCTCTAGATGCCGTGACATGGCCACCCTGTGACACTACACACACTCACACAGTCACACACACACACACAGTCACACACAGTCACACACACACACAGTCACACACACAGTCACACACACACACACAGTCACACGTGAGTGTGACTGTGTGAGTGTAGTGAGTGTGTGTGAGTGTGTGAGTGTGTGTGAGTGAGTGAGTGTGTGAGTGTGCGAGTGAGTGTGCGAGTGAGTGTGTGAGTGAGTGAGTGTGTGAGTGAGTGTGTGTGAGTGAGTGAGTGTGAGTGACTGAGTGAGTGAGTGACTGAGTGAGTGAGTGTGTGAGTGAGTGACTGACTGAGTGACTGAGTGAGTGACTGAGTGACTGAGTGACCGAGTGACTGAGTGAGTGACTAAGTGAGTGACTGAGTGACTGACTGAGTGAGTGACTGACTGACTGACTGAGTGAGTGACTGAGTGACTGAGTGACTGACTGAGTGAGTGAGTGACTGACTGACTGACTGAGTGACTGAGTGACTGACTGAGTGAGTGAGTGACTGAGTGACTGACTGAGTGAGTGACTGAGTGACTGACTGAGTGAGTGACTGAGTGACTGAGTGACTGACTGAGTGACTAACTGACTGAGTGACTGACTGACTGACTGACTGAGTGACTGACTGAGTGACTGACTGAGTGACTGAGTGACTGACTGAGTGACTGAGTGAGTGAGTGACTGACTGAGTGAGTGAGTGTGTGAGTGAGTGACTGACTGAGTGACTGAGTGAGTGACTGAGTGACTGAGTGACCGAGTGACTGAGTGAGTGACTAAGTGAGTGACTGAGTGACTGACTGAGTGAGTGACTGACTGACTGACTGAGTGAGTGACTGAGTGACTGAGTGACTGACTGAGTGAGTGAGTGACTGACTGACTGACTGACTGAGTGACTGAGTGACTGAGTGACTGACTGAGTGAGTGAGTGACTGAGTGACTGAGTGACTGACTGAGTGAGTGACTGAGTGACTGACTGAGTGACTGACTGAGTGACTGAGTGACTGACTGAGTGACTGAGTGAGTGAGTGACTGAGTGACTGACTGAGTGACTGACTGAGTGACTGAGTGAGTGAGTGACTGAGTGACTGACTGAGTGACTGACTGAGTGAGTGAGTGACTGACTGAGTGACTGACTGAGTGAGTGACTGACTGACTGACTGACTGAGTGACTGACTGAGTGACTGACTGAGTGACTGAGTGACTGACTGAGTGACTGAGTGAGTGAGTGACTGACTGAGTGAGTGAGTGTGTGAGTGAGTGACTGACTGAGTGACTGAGTGAGTGACTGAGTGACTGAGTGACCGAGTGACTGAGTGAGTGACTAAGTGAGTGACTGAGTGACTGACTGAGTGAGTGACTGACTGACTGACTGAGTGAGTGACTGAGTGACTGAGTGACTGACTGAGTGAGTGAGTGACTGACTGACTGACTGAGTGACTGAGTGACTGAGTGACTGACTGAGTGAGTGAGTGACTGAGTGACTGAGTGACTGACTGAGTGAGTGACTGAGTGACTGACTGAGTGACTGACTGAGTGACTGAGTGACTGACTGAGTGACTGAGTGAGTGAGTGACTGACTGAGTGACTGACTGAGTGACTGACTGAGTGACTGAGTGAGTGAGTGACTGAGTGACTGACTGAGTGACTGACTGAGTGAGTGAGTGACTGACTGAGTGACTGACTGACTGAGTGAGTGACTGGGTGAGTGACTGAGTGAGTGACTGACTGAGTGACTGACTGAGTGACTGAGTGAGTGACTGACTGAGTGACTGACTGAGTGACTGGGTGAGTGACTGAGTGAGTGTGTAAGTGACTGACTGACTGAGTGACTGACTGAGTGACTGACTGACTGAGTGAGTGACTGACTGAGTGAGTGTGTAAGTGTGTGAGTGTGTAAGTGAGTGACTGAGTGAGTGACTGAGTGATTGTGTGAGTGACTGAGTGAGTGTGTAAGTGACTGACTGACTGAGTGACTGACTGAGTGACTGGGTGAGTGACTGGGTGAGTGACTGAGTGAGTGTGTGACTGAGTGAGTGAGTGTGTGTGAGTGTGTGAGTGTGTGAGTGAGTGTGTAAGTGTGTGAGTGTGTAAGTGAGTGACTGAGTGAGTGACTGAGTGACTGACTGACTGACTGAGTGAGTGACTGACTGAGTGAGTGTGTAAGTGTGTGAGTGTGTGAGTGTGTAAGTGAGTGACTGAGTGAGTGACTGAGTGAGTGTGTGAGTGACTGAGTGAGTGTGTAAGTGACTGACTGACTGAGTGACTGACTGAGTGACTGGGTGAGTGACTGGGTGAGTGACTGAGTGAGTGTGTGACTGAGTGAGTGAGTGTGTGTGAGTGTGTGAGTGTGTGAGTGAGTGTGTAAGTGTGTGAGTGTGTAAGTGACTGACTGAGTGAGTGACTGAGTGACTGACTGACTGACTGACTGAGTGACTGAGTGAGTGTGTAAGTGTGTGAGTGTGTAAGTGAGTGACTGAGTGAGTGACTGAGTGAGTGTGTGAGTGACTGAGTGAGTGTGTAAGTGACTGACTGACTGAGTGACTGACTGAGTGACTGGGTGAGTGACTGGGTGAGTGACTGAGTGAGTGTGTGACTGAGTGAGTGAGTGTGTGTGAGTGTGTGAGTGTGTGAGTGAGTGTGTAAGTGTGTGAGTGTGTAAGTGACTGACTGAGTGAGTGACTGAGTGACTGACTGACTGACTGAGTGACTGAGTGAGTGTGTAAGTGTGTGAGTGTGTAAGTGAGTGACTGAGTGAGTGACTGAGTGAGTGTGTGAGTGACTGAGTGAGTGTGTAAGTGACTGACTGACTGAGTGACTGACTGAGTGACTGGGTGAGTGACTGGGTGAGTGACTGAGTGAGTGTGTGACTGAGTGAGTGAGTGTGTGTGAGTGTGTGAGTGTGTGAGTGAGTGTGTAAGTGTGTGAGTGTGTAAGTGACTGACTGAGTGACTGACTGAGTGAGTGACTGAGTGAGTGTGTAAGTGACTGACTGAGTGACTGAGTGAGTGACTAAGTGAGTGACTGAGTGATTGTGTAAGTGAGTGACTGAGTGACTGAGTGACTGACTGAGTGAGTGACTGACTGAGTGAGTGACTGACTGAGTGAGTGACTGAGTGAGTGTGTAAGTGACTGACTGAGTGACTGACTGAGTGAGTGACTAAGTGAGTGACTGAGTGATTGTGTAAGTGAGTGACTGAGTGACTGAGTGACTGACTGAGTGACTAACTGACTGACTGACTGAGTGAGTGAGTGACTGGCTGACTGAGTGACTGACTGAGTGAGTGACTGAGTGACTGAGTGACTGACTGAGTGAGTGACTGAGTGAGTGACTGAGTGACTGACTGAGTGACTGACTGACTGACTGACTGGGTGAGTGACTGACTGACTGACTGAGTGACTGACTGACTGAGTGACTGACTGACTGAGTGAGAGTACCCTCCCCGCTGCCCCTACTGCCCCCACCGTGTGCTTGCACCCAGCCTCCTTGAAGGGGCAGGCCACGTGCACAGTAGCACAGGCCTCCTTGAGGTGGCAGGGCAGCTCCTCGCGGGCGATGCGGGGCAGTCCACAGCGGTTTGGACACGGCACAGGGACACGTGGGCACTGCTGCTGGTGGCTCTGGGGGGTCACGGGGTCACAGCAGGGGTGGAGCGGGCGGGGTTATTGTCCAGCCACTCACTCAGTCGCTCAGTCAGTCAGTCAGTCACTCAGTCACTCACTCAGCCACTCACTCACGCACTCAGTCACTCACTCAGCCACTTACTCACTCACTCAGTCACTCAGCCACTTACTCACTCACTCAGTGACTCACTCAGTCACTTACTCACTCACTCAGTCAGTCACTCACTCACTCAGCCACTCACTCAGTCACTCAGTCACTCACTCAGTGACTCACTCAGTGACTCACTCAGTCACTCAGCCACTCACTCAGTCACTCACTCAATCAGTCACTTAGTCACTCACTCAGTCACTCAGTCACTCACTCACTCAGTCACTCACTCACTCAGTCACTCACTCACTCAGTCACTCACTCACTCACTCAGTCACTCACTCACTCAGTCACTCACTCAATCAACCACTCAATCACTCAGTCACTCACGCACTCAGTCACTCACTCACTCAGCCACTCACCCACTCAGTCAGTCACTCAGTCAGTCAGTCACTCAGTCACTCACTCAGTCACTTACTCACTCACTCAGTCACTCAGCCACTCACTCACTCAGTCAGTCAGTCACTCAGTCACTCACTCACTCACTCAGTCACTCAGCCACTCACTCACGCACTCAGTCACTCACTCAGTCACTCACTCAGTCAGCCACTCACTCAGTCACTCACTCACTCACTTAGCCACTTACTTACTCACTAAGCCACTAACTCACTCAGCCACTCACTCAGTGAGTCACTCACTCAGCCACTCACTCAGTCACTCAGTCAGTCACTCACTCAGCCACTCATTCACTTATCCACTCACTCAGCCCCTCACTCACTCGGCCACTCACTCACTCAGCCACTCATTCACTCACTCAGCCACTCAGTAGTGTATAGTGTAGTGTATAGTGTAGTGTACAGTGTAGTGTATAGTAGTGTATAGTGTAGTGTATTGTAGTGTATAGTGTAGCGTATAGTGTAATGTATAGTGTATAGTGTAGTGTATAGTGTAGTGTATAGTGTAGTGTATAGTGTAGTGTATAGTGTAGTGTAGTGTATAGTGTAATGTATAGTGTAGTGTATAGTGTAGTGTATAGTGTAGTGTATAGTGTAGTGTATAGTGTAGTGTATAGTAGAGTGTATAGTGTAGTGTATAGTGTAGTGTATAGTATAGTGTAGTATATAGTGTAGTGTACAGTGTAGTGTATTGTAGTGTATAGTGTAGCGTATAGTGTAATGTATAGTGTAGTGTATAGTAGTGTATAGTGTAGTGTATAGTGTAGTGTATAGTAGTGTACAGTGGAGTGTCCACCGCTACCCACCACCACTCACCGCTACCCACCACCACCCCCCACCCCCACTCACCACCACCCCCCACTCACCACCACCACTGCCCACCACCACCCACCACCACCACCCACCACCACCACCACCCCCCACTCACCACCACCCCCCACTCACCACCACCCACCACCACCGCCCACCACCACTCACCACCACTCACCACCACCACCGCCCACCACCACCACCACTCACCACCACCACCACCACTCACCACCACCACCCCCACTCACCACCACCACCACCACCACCCCCCACTCACCACCACCCCCACTCACCACCACCACCACCACCACCCACCACCACCCCCACTCACCACCACCCACCACCACCACCACCCACCACCACCCCCACTCACCACTGCCCACCACCACCACAACCCACCACCACCGCCCACCACCACCACCCCCCACTCACCATCACCACCACTGCCCACCACCACTCACCACCCCCCACTCACCACCACCACTGCCCACCACCACCACTGCCCACTGCCCACCTGCAGGGTCTCGTAGAGGAAGTCTCGCTGGCAGTGTGGGCAGGCGAGGGTCCGCTTGGGACAGGCAAGTGAGGCATGAGCGGTGACCTGGGAGCGCGTCACCTGGGCTCCACACTTGTTCTCGCAGGGCAGCGTCTCCAGGGGGCAGCTGCTGCGGTGGGCCTGGGCAGGCGCGGAAACACGGGCAGCCACCGTGAGCATCACCAACAACGTCACCAACAACGTCACCAACAACATCACCAACAACGTCACCAACAACATCGCCAACAACGTCACCAACAACATCGCCAACAACATCGCCAACAATATCGCCAACAACATCACCAACAACGTCACCAACAACGTCACCAACAACGTCGCCAACATCGCCAACAACGTCACCAACAACATCGCCAACATCGCCAACAACGTCACCAACAACGTCGCCAACATCACCAACAACGTCACCAACAACATCGCCAACATCGCCAACAACGTCACCAACAACGTCGCCAACATCGCCAACAACGTCACCAACAACGTCGCCAACATCGCCAACAACGTCACCAACAACATCGCCAACATCGCCAACAACGTCACCAACAACGTCGCCAACAACATCGCCAGCAACATCGCCAACAACGTCACCAACAACATCACCAACAACATCGCCAACAACATCGCCAACAACATCGCCAACAACGTCGCCAACAACGTCGCCAACAACGTCACCAGCAACATCGCCAACAACATCACCAACAACATCGCCAACAACATCGCCAACAACGTCGCCAGCAACATCGCCAACAACATCACCAACAACATCGCCAACAACATCGCCAACAACGTCACCAACAACATCGCCAACAACGTCGCCAACAACATCGCCAACAACATCGCCAACAACATCGCCAACAACATCGCCAACAACGTCGCCAACAACATCGCCAACAACATCGCCAACAACATCGCCAACAACATCGCCAACAACGTCGCCAGCAACATCGCCAGCAACATCGCCAACAACGTCGCCAACAACATCGCCAACAACATCGCCAACAACGTCGCCAACAACATCGCCAACAACATCGCCAACATCACCACCAACAACATCACCAACATCACCACCAACATCACCAACAACATCACCACCAACATCGCCAACAACATCCCCAACAACATCGCCAACATCACCAACAACATCACCACCAACATCACCAACAACATCGCCAATATCACCACCATCACCAGCATCAACATCACCACCAATATCACCAACAACATCACCACCAACATCACCAACATCATCGCCACCACCACCACCATCACCACCACCACCACTACCACCATCACTACCACCACCACCATCATCACCACCACCACCACCACCACCATCACCACCATCACCACCACCACCACCATCACCACTACCACCATCACCACCACCACCACCACTATCACCACCACCACCATCACCACCATCATCGCCACCACCACCACCACTACCACCATCACTACCACCACCATCACCACCACCATTACCACCACCACCATCACCACCGCCACCACCACCATCACCATCATCACATCACCACCATCACCACCACCACCACCATCACCACCACCACCACCATCACCACCACCACCACAATCACCACCACCATCACCACTACCACCACCACCATCATCATCACCATCACCACAATCATCACCATCACCACAATCACCACCACCACCATCACCACCACCATCACCATCACCACTACCACCACCACCATCATCATCACCATAACCACAATCATCACCATCACCACAATCACCACCATCACCACCACCACAATCACCACCATCACCACAAAAACCACCATCACCACCACTACCACCACTACCATCACCACCACCACCACCACAATCACCACCACCATCACCACCACCACTACCACCATCATCATCACCATCACCACAATCATCACCATCACCACCACCACCACAATCACCACCACCACCATCACCACCATCACCACCACCACCACCATCACCACTACCACCATCACCACCACCACCACCATCAACGCCACCACCACCACCATCACCACCACCACCACTACCACCATCACTACCACCACCATCACCACCACCACCACCATCACCACCACCACCATCACCACCGCCACCACCACCATCACCATCATCACATCACCACCACCACCATCACCACCACCACCACCATCACCACCACCACAATCACCACCACCATCACCACTACCACCACCACCATCATCATCACCATCACCACAATCATCACCATCACCACAATCACCACCATCA